CGGAGGGGGGGGGGGGGGGGGGGGGGAATCATATGAACAAAGCAACAGTGCCCAGAAGCAGTAAACTAACACGGTCTTGTGTCAAAATTTATGACGCAGTACTAGTGAATCGTTGGTTTTCAATTTCAACCAAAGAAAGAGGGCGCCCCTCATTAAGACACATTCTTCTGCAATTTTTTTCCTTTCGCATTCTTTTAAATTTTACATCTCTGTGGTGAGGATTATAATTTCGTTTATTTTAAACCATTTTTATTTTATTTTTTTTCATTTTTGTTTTGTAACGGTATTTTCCCTCTTGAACTTGATTACTCTATACCTATACAATTCATGATCATCACCATGGATCATCACATCACGATTATCATTATTATCATCATCATCATCTGATCATCATTCCCTACATTCTCTTGCGACTGAAACCGACAGTGTTGTATATAATGATTTCTAAATTTTCTAATTTCTAAAATTTATACAACAGAGAAACAGAAAGATACACAGGTAATTTATGGAAACATACTGAATATAGGCCGGCTACGTTGTAGGTCTATTATGAAATAAAACAAATAAAAACCACAGAAAAAATTTTTTTTCCATCAATACTGTGAATCACAGAGATTAGGATAGTCAGTAATATTTTAATTGGTTGTTCATTCTCATACTAATCAAACTATACATCGAAATCACCAATTACTGCATTATTATAGGCTACTCGCCCAATTAATTGGATCGCTATAGCGCCCTCAGTGGCAGAAAACTTTTCGCGACCACTTTAAGCTTTTAAAATACTTTCTTTTCACACAAATAGTATAAATTACCGACACGAAAATAAAGCCAAATAAACTATCAGTCTGTTTCGTTTATGTGTATCGCATTTCTTAACCCGTCATATTCGATTGTCGAGAAACTTCTTCACCAGGGGTGGCGCCAGGACTTGCCCGACGGGGGTGGGGGATGACCCCAACAACGGGTCAGATTTTCCCGACGAAAGTAAAGTGGGCGTGGTCGAGTTTTGAAAATTTTGACAATTTAGGGGTTTCAAAGGCTTATTTAATCGATTTTAGAGTCTCCTAATGAGCCAAACAAACAAACAAGTTGTCCCCCATGGGACAAACTCCCATGGGGGAGGGGAAAAGCTCTCCATGACGTGGCCCTCGCCCCCCCCCCCCTCGGCCCGTGCTGGCGCCACCCCTGTGCTTCACAAATATTTATCGTTACGTTAGTATTCTGCTTTTTGTTTGTCATTCATAAGATGAGGAGAGGAGGACGTATGATGAAGAACAATGATTTAATGACGAACACTCGATCGATATTCGATTATTACGAGACAGTGACAGTGACTATGCCCACGGTTTTCAACCCCCGCCCGATTTCAATCTGGCCCCTTGAGACATTGCTAAAAAAAAAATAATTTTTTCGGCAAATTTTCACTAATGTACTAACAAATAAATGTTTTCTGATAGGGCCACTCACGACCACCTACTCTGGCATTAGGTTTATAGCCCAAACGTTCACTTGATTTCATTTTGCTGTTTTCTCTTGTTGTTGTCACGTTTTGTCATTTATTGTATATTGACTGTTATACTATCTTGTTTTGAGTGATGTCAATAAAAGAATCTAAATCTAAATGTTAAACAAGAGTCTGGCTTTCTGTATAGAGGCGTAGCGTAGGCCTATGTCATGGGAAGGAGACAGGGGCGGATCCAGAAATGTCCAAAAGGGGGGGGGGAAAGTTGGGCCGATAGGGGGACCGAAAGTTGGGCCAATTGAGACAACACTGTCGTAGGGGGTCTGGGGCATGCCCCGCGAAATTTCTGTGTTCTAGACGACCAAACATAACATTTGAGGCATTCTGGGCTATCATTTTTTTCTTTTTCTCTCTTTTTTTTCTTTTTTTTTTCTTTTTTTTACCTCCCAAAAGGGGGGCCGGGGCCGGGCCGGCCCCCCCCCCTAAATCCGCCCCTGGGAGAGACTGGTAGGGGATAATCAAAGAGGGATGCTGATGACGATTGTTAACCGATTAAAACCGGCCACCAGCTTTAAAAGGATACCCGGCCTAGGCCTATGTAATAAGGATGACCATCATCACAACAATTTTTGTACCGCACAGTGGTTTCACAGAAATTTTATATCACGCCTTCATTTCAAAGGTGCTACAATACATAATGCAATTTATAAAATCGACATATATTTTACAGAAATCTCAGGACTAGGCCTACACCCCACCCCACCAACACATGATGATGATGATGATGATGATGATGATGATGATGATGATGATGATGATGATGATGATGATCATGTTCACAATTACGTTATAATCATCAAAACCAGGGCATAGGCCTAATCATTTATCATAATCATCGTAATGGTCATTCCCCCGCCACCCCGTCAGCCGACGCCACGACGGAGTCGTCGGACGAAAACCGGGGAAGTACGATTTTATTTTTCCTATATCCGTTGTTTGGTTGCCAATCCCTAATTGTGGACTAATGCACAATTTTGGGACCTACAAAGCCATAAAAACTTCCTCCATGAATCGTATCAGGATTTATTTCTTCTTCTTCTTTTTCTTTTTTTTTTTATATAATTCTGGGGGCCTTGATTGAGGCTAGCAGTAGTCGGCCCCCTTCGTTCGGACCCGCCCCGGACTTGTCGGACCTGAGCCACCACTGCGAGTTTGATGCGTCCTTATGAACTTTCAAATGGAATTCTGATTTATTTTTCTTATTCCAAACTAATTCAACCAATTGTATATTTGCATAGGCCTATTGCTGAAATATTTATCTTTGAAAGTACGATTACGCGCATCGGCGGAGCGAGTGATCTCCTACTACCTCAATCTATTTTATTTATAATTGCCATGGTAATAGTCACGTGACCGCGACGAATAGCAATTAATGACGCTGACTCCGTTTGATCTGCGCCGCATCTTAAGATCGCTCCTCCCCCTCTGCCGACCGCCAACACACACGTTTGAATTGCTTGATTTGATGCATTTTGACAGCTTCTCGCTGAGTAGACTAGAGAAACAGCCAAGCTCGCTAAAGAAGTATCATCAGTAAAAATTTTTACAAAATTGGAAATACCGGTATTGTCATGCGTTCAAGGTATGTGCTAATATTTCTAAAAGCAGTGTGTATGAACATTAACCTTTTGCATTGAAGAATGGTAAATTTGAAAGATTATTGATATGGATGTAACATTTACCGGTGAGCTAGGCCTAGGCCTAGCTAGGCAGGCCTCCCTGCTCCCATGCCACCTTCTTCGATTCAGTTTAACATTCCTCAGGAGTGAGTGTATGAATGTCTTGGCCTAGCTAGACCTAGGCCCTAGGCTAGAGTGTAGTGATGGAGATTGCAGTAAGCTAGGCCTAGACAAGTAATAGGCCTACATACGCTCGGTTAACATCTCACCGCTAAGAAATTATCTCAAATGTAGGCCCTAATAGACTTTCTGCTGATTGTTAATTTAGGATGTTGTATTGGGAAAAATAATTAGGCTAGGCCTAGGCCTACCTATCTAGGCCCTTATCAAAGGGTGGGGGAGGGGGGCTAGGCCTGTTCATTGCATAATACTTTTAAAATAGGCCGAACATTATTACATAATTTACATTATTTAGAATAGCCATTGTCATGTATACTTAATAACATCAATCTTGTAGCCGGGTTTTGGAGTTATTTTATTGCATTTTTTTAGGCCTAGGCCTGTCATCAGTGCCGGTTTTAATTGTATCATTTTTAAACTGTACTAAAATTTAAAAACCCATTATGTAATGTATGTCTTAATGTGGCTTGTTCATGATTGGGCTAATCGCAATGTATTGTATGCGATTTTTTATTGTGCTAGACTGAAACCAGCGTACTTTGCAGCAATTTAATTTTTATCTATTGATAGGTTTATTTTTTAAAATAAAAACTATATATATTAAATTTTTGAAAAATACATCTGATGTTAATAATACCCTATGTACCATTAAAATTATATGTCTTCCTGATTTTTTTAAGGTTTCTTTAATTTATCCAATCAGTGCAATAGGAGACCTACACTGTACGTGATTTAATTTGTATCCCCAATCCCAGCCCACACTGCATTGCGGAGAGCGGCCGTGGGCCGAGTGGCAGTATTAGTCTTGGAGCGGGTTGCATGTACAGTAGTACCTCGTCATTCCTCATAGAATCGCGTCGGCTGACAACCATCGATGCGGTGTGCGCCAGATTTAAGCATCCTACCGTATTCGTTCTGTTGTTGCCGTATTATTATTCATTAAAAAACCCGCCGCCACAAAAAATTGAATTTTCAGAAAAAAATAAGTTTTCTTTTTCTTTTTTTATTTATTAATTTTAAAAAAAAATAATTATTCCTACCGCTGCTTTGAAATCTCTAAAAAAATAAGATTGTACTGTACAGTATATTTCTTCCCTAATTTTATAAAATTTAAACCATCCCATTACTGTCCTCTCTCTGGATTTCTCATTTTGCTAAAAATGAAAAGTAGAAAATTAATGGAACTTTCTGCTAACCCTCACCTTTTGAATAGTTGTCACTAAAGGTCCCACAAAATGACAATGTTAACGAATGCCAACATGTGCGTTTTTGGGACAACATTTTTGGGACAAACACGTTTTCCCACATGTACCGTAGCCCTGTTCTAATTGATCGATTGTTGAGTTTGGTTGAAATTGCTTTTACAGTAAAATTAAGGCCCACAGCAATGTGGAAAAAACAGGCTCCCAGCGGGAGCGTGTGTCCACTGCCTAATTCTATAGAAACGATGATGTGGAAAATGATTAATGATTTAATGGTTTAACATCATGAGAGTAAGGTTGTGTTTACGAACTTTCAACGAAACCGGATAAGTCAAAAATGACATAATGCCCAGAGGGTAGGTCATTAGATCGCTTGTTTACGAACCCCAAGTTTATTCGGATACGGACCATAAGGTATAGGTCTTTCAACAAAACAAACACTTCACCGCTTAGCCTTCCTCAGCCCAACAAGGCAATTCAACAATGAATTACCGAAACTAGAGCCTAGGCCAACTGGGAAAATTACAAAAAACAAAGAAAAAAAATAGCCTATGGACTTACTACCACTACTACTACTACAGTAGTTCCTTCCACTGGTGTTCAGAGCCGACAACGACGTGTCGACAGTGTGTGGTGGACAAGAAATGGGCTATCGCCAAAAATTTCGTTCATCATCTCAAAATACGGCCATTCTGTTGGGGGGGTGGTTCCCTGACTTCCCGTTAGAGTCCTTTTCCTAGGTGTATTTTTTGTGCAGGTTCTTGCGTTTGGTAACTATCTGCGCGTACGTAAAGATATAACCCATTTCCCACATCGTCTGTGCGATTTCTTTATATAAACGGCGTTGTTCCGTCGGGTTCCATCAAAACCGTCTTGTATGGATGTCGTTCCCCATATGCTAATTAACGTTTGGGTTGCTTCGTCAGTCCTCCCACTCTGTTCAGCTGCAGCCATTGTAAAGTGGTATGTCGTCGTAAAAATAAACTTAATATTTCGGCTTAAAAATTGGATAATATAATTTATAAAGAGAGGACTACTCTAGCGATGTCACTGGACGAAGGCACGAATGAAAAGAAATTGCAGACTCATGTGCTTAATCTGAATAGATTTCTCATAAAAGTAAGGTCAGTTGACACCATGCTGTGGGCTATTGCGCCCGAGGCAGCCTCCAACCCTCCAAACTTATCTGGAAAGGAGCCCAGAAATTCCAGATGTTTTAGTAATTATAGCTAGTTGAGGAATGATTAATTATCACCTCAGGCTTGAGTTATCTGGTTTTCGAAAGTTCGTAAACGGGGCCCTAAGTGGGGGTGTTGACATTATACTGTCATGTATAATTGCCTATTCATTGTATAAACTACAGTACACCATGGTATTTCCTAATTAATAGATACATTGCAGTGACAGTGATATCCTTATCTTGTTACCAGGACAACTGTTCTGTTACTAACCACACATACCTAAGTTTAGGTGTCCGCCTACACATGACCTCCATCGGAATTAGAAAGGTCAATGTTGCTCGACAACATAGTGTCTACTGCACCCTGTGGGGGCAGTGTAGACACAATGAGGAAAGTCAACCCCAGCCTTTTGACAGTTTAGAATCTGGATTCTTAGACTGGATTCTATTCAGCTTAGAAACTTTTGTATAGTATTGCCGCACGCCAGGGTTCTCACCAGCATGTCATGAGCGCCAGTCGGCAAAACTTGAAACGTAGTCGTCAGCCCAACAAGACATCACAATGCTAAGCCTAGCCTACTGTAGGCCAACAATTTAGGCCTAGACTAGCCGTAGTTAGAATAATAGCACAACCTTTCTCTATGGTACAGCCAAGTTTAATGATTGGCTGCCAGATCATATTTTGTTGTTGTACATAACTCATCTTTTTTAATGGCTCTGCTACTATTGTAGCTAGATATATTGACTGTTGCAGTTTGAATTAATGGCTCTCAAAGTCTCATAGCACTTTATTAGATTCACATTCTTTAGTACTTTAAGTTTATTTAAAATTGAGTGGATTTAAATTTCATTGTTTACTTTGATGTTGATGTTAAATTTGACCCCATCACCGAAGTAATATCAGATTTGACTTGTATGCTAGGTCACCATACAGTATCTATTTTTCTGGCATAAAATAAATATTGAAAGTACTTTAACCTCTTGTGTTGTGCTAAAATAAGTTTATATAATGACATATTTGGATTGCTAAGTACTGTAGGCCTATTATTAGCTTCTATACCATTTACATAAATACTGACCTTAGAATGAAAAATAATACCAAATTGTGACTCACATGTTATCTCAAAATCTTCAGTGGATGTACTGTACAGTAGGCCTACAGTACTGATATAAAACATGAAAATTAAATTCTGTGCCTTTGTTGCATAAAATATTGAATTGGTTAGTAATTAAAAATTATAATTTAATTTTTTTTTTTATGAAAGGGCTAGAAATTTGGGAACCTTTCAGTATAATTTTTAAATGTTCAATCCTTATATAGTATTACCCTATCATTAGAAGTAGTGCTACCAGATATTTCCTAGTCTAAGGTTCCTAACAAGAGGTCCAAGTTATAATTATGGCACCTGCCCTAGGTGGCCGGAAATGTGAGAGACTTGGGGCCCCCATGAGATCCAAATTCACCTCCTCAGCCTCACTATATTTGGCACAATTTTAGGCACCTCTAAACTACTGTATATACAGTATACCTGGAAATGACATTCTCTGTATGCTTGATCTACAGTGATTCCCGAAAAAGTAGTAAATGATGTAATTGGTTTTTCTCCAATGGGGGGTATGACGGGGTCCTGGGCTCCCGACGAAGGCCTCCTGTACTCACTTGATGGCACCGCCACTGATTAGAAGTTGAGTAATCTTGATTGACATCCTTTCCCTTCCAGTGATTGTTAAACTAATTGATAAGTTAATTACTGTGAACTGAAATTTGTGACTGCAAAATGAAATGAGTTAATTGAAATATTAAATCATCTGATCAGTGATAAATGGTGTTGTCAAATGAAGCTTGCTTGAAAACTAGTTAACACTGATGTACAGAGAGAGTTCCAGTTAGGATGTGTATGTACTGTATTGTACAGTATCTGTGTATTAGAAATACTGTACATATATAAAATTTTCATTGCCTTAGAAGCAAATCTGTAAATGTACGGAAATTATTACATGAGATGGAATATAGGAAAGAGATACTGTAAAATGTACTGTGTAAAGGATTTCTAGATAATAAACAATTATTATATTTATTAAGAGTCTAGAGTTTATAAAATGCCAGACAAGTTGGAATATATATTAATAATGCATCAGGCATCCATCCATGGTACTGTGTATGGTATTAATAATAATAATAATAATTATAATTATAATTACATTCTTCTATAGCACATTCCGCAAAAAGCCTCAATGCGCTTTACAGCAAGGAAAGAAAAACTAGTAGTAAATTATTTAATATTTTGACTTAAACTACGGTACTTAAACTAAAAACAGTTCCGAAAAGCATGTCCGCTAAATTGGTATGTATCCAGAATAGGGCTCCACCCACCGATGTCGAAAACAACGTCTGCATTGACTTAGAGAAAAGGAGCTAACCAAAAACCATACTTCCCGTATCCGCTTATTTACAGTAGCTTCACTGACGTACTGAAAGGCTATAATAAAATATTTGTATGGTAATTAATAATTGAGGTACTGCAGTTCAGACTAATCGTAGCCTAGTGGCTGAATTACAAATTTGTAGTTATAAAAGAAGTAATAAATATACATTACAATATTAGGAGGAAATAGCATTGAACATCATTTTAATCAACACCCAATTTAGAAATAAAACGTTTCAATTTGTTTTTAAAATGAGCTTGGGGATAACCTCGAAAAATACTGTAATTTGGTCTCTTGCATCGATGATGTGCAATTTGTACGATGGTTGTTGACTAAATACACTTTTTTTTTATAAGAATCAGTAAAATTTTCCCCAGGCTCAGTGTTTTCAGTGATAAGATTTGTTGGTTTTTATATTTCAAAAAAAAAATAATAAAAACCTTACATTTGACATTTTACCTCAGTGTCAATCTGTTCGTATTTTGTTCTTTTATCAATTTCAGCCACAGTATTCTTGTAAAATGTGTTCTTATAAAATTAAAAAAATGTGTACAGTGTTATACAGCAAGCTATTATTATATTATTTGTTGTACCTGTATGAGTAAATGTAAGTATTTACAGTACTGTAAATTTAATTTAATTTTCTTTTAAAAACACTTCAAAACGACATGATATTTTTACCCACCTAGGCACACGCATACAGTAATTGATTTCACCATTTAAATGAAATTTTTATTACTGTGTACAGTACAGTGTATGTTTTCCTATTAAACTACAATTTTGGTAAGTCAAAATGATCCATTTACATACACTGTTACAGTACATTATTTTTGTATGATCCGATCGCTTTTTAACTAGCAATTTTTTCTGTCATCTCATATCAATTGCTCCACTGTACCATCTTGTATCAGACATTGCATCCTAGCAGCATCCTTGTCTCCAATGGTCTTCATTCACTTTTCAACAGATGTTATTTTTTGTTAATAATAAAAGTTCATGATGATCATGTATCCAGATATGACATGCACAAAAAATTTACTCTAGTGAACTATTTGGAGGCGCAGTGTTTAATTTTGTTTGAATTTAATTGGCTCAGATTTTTAAAAAAATATCAACACAGAATACGCCGCCCTCTACTGTACCTGTTATTTCTAGTCGTATGGCTAACTATCAGTATTGTTGCACTGTACCAGACCAATTCCATTCCAAAATCTTCTACAGTAACTGTATCCTTATTACATACTGTATTACTGGGTAGGGACTGACCAACCTCATTTTGCACAAATAATAATGATATACAGTACGGTGTAACTTTTTTATTTGAGGCACGAAAACAAAACATGTACTGTACAGCAGTGTAATGTATAACAGTGTACTGTAGAATTTCCATCCCATTTCCAGTATTAGGAATGTATAGTAAGCTTCAGGTGGGGGAGGGGGGTGATTATTTCATATTACACAAGGACCTAATTTAACAAACAACTATAATAAATAATAATACTTCATAATGATAAATACTGTATATCACTTTATAAAACGTCTTATTGAAGCATATAAATTATTCTAAATTATGTAAGTTATGCCTACCAATTCATCAATGGGGGGGTGGGGTGGTGATTCTTTCATATTACACAAGTACCTGTTAGCTGTAACTAACAAACAATTAACTATATTAATTTAATAATGAATACTGTATCAGTTAAACATCTTGTTAAAGCATAGCAATTATTTTAAATTATGTAAATTAATCCTACCAATTCATCGATATACGGTACCCGCATAAAACTGAATACTGTATTTATCACAGATGAAGACAAGTAAGCATCGCACAATATGCATTTATGCTGATGACTGCGAGCGAGCAAATATAGATTATTAACAACTTAATTGTTCTGTCAATTTCTCTACTGGTACTCTTAAAAAGGACCACAGATAGGGAAATTGCAATTAACTTTGAGTATAACCTTTTGAAACTCAATCCCTTGGCAAGTTAATTTAATACTTAATAGCTTTTATAACATTTGATATTTTTGAACTGAACTACAGCATAGTAAAGGCCTACTGTATATCATAAATTTATGAAAAGTGCAGTTTTCTAATAATGTTCTTTTTTTTTTTTTATTGCATACTACAGTACTCCATTAGGGCCACTGACAGTGAAATTACAAAATTATCTCAGATTAAAGTAATGACCCTATTTTGAAACTCCAATTAAATGAAAGTTAATTTTTACTATTAGTAACTGTAGCTTTCATAATATTTGATATTTTTGAACTGTTACTGTATTTCAAAATAAAAAGTGCAGTTTTCTAATGTTTTTTTTTTTTTTTTAAATTGCTATTGTGAACTTTTACATTCATACTGTATTGTTTTTTTTATGAATTCATAATTCAGTATTCTTTGATTTTTTAGGCTAGTGGAAAGACATAAAATTGTAAATTCTTTTTTCATTATGAAATACAACAAATGTGGTTCTGATTATTAAAAATAAGATGAATGTAAGACATTAAATACAAGTCATTGGCAGGACATTGTGTGAATTTTGATTGATAAATGTACTGATGCATTTGTACAATTAATTATATGAGTACTGTAGGCTATATCATTCAAAATTTGAATTTGAATGCAACAGGCAGCAATAAACTGCAGTGCTATTATATTTTTGTGCATGTTGTTTTGCCTTGGAATGGCCAAATGTTATTATATAAATGAATCCAGTGAATTTATTTACTTCTGATCAAAAGTATAGTCATTCAATTAAGAACACAACAGTTTAAATTTGGGATGTTAATGCATGTCAGTGATAGGACATTGTGTAAACCATTATTGATCGATAAAATTTAATATTATAAACTGATGCATTTGTACAATTATATGAAGAGGCTACGTGATTAGAAATTTGAATTATGCAACAAGCAACAATGACAGTACAGTATTATTGGTAATAGCACATGTACAATACCTAGAGGGTTGTAGTTGTACAGTAGAAAACTAAAGGGTGGGAGGTAAACATTTAAGGGTGGGCTAATAACATTAGTACTGTAAGCACTATATGATTTTAAGGATGGTCAAAGGGGTTAGTAAAAGTAGGTGGAGGGCCATAAAAGGTGCATGATGGGTCATGGGTCATCTTTAGCACCTTATTACTGTACACAATTCATAAAAAAATACAACACCACACATTTGCTCAGATAACCGAATCCCATGTCGACACAAACATAATACTGTAAAGCCAGCATAGAGCACACTGTAGACGCACACTCCCGCTGGGAGATTAGTTTTTAAAGTGCTGCTTTTGGTTTAAGGCAAAAGGCAGCATCATCCCTTCAAAGTCTCTTAAAAAGCAGTATAACATACGTTGTTTATTGTAATTCAATCGTCAATCAAACGGATTGATGTATTAAAATCCTAATTAATTTTTGCAAGCTAACACTGATACGGATGAACCATGTGATGCACTCTGATGGACCTTTCTGTGTGTCAATCAAACTTAACAACTGACCAATCAAAACATGCCGGGATTACATGCTTGTCCCACAAACAAACATGTTGTCCCACAGGAGCTTAGCAACAAAATCTAAGGGGCGGGGCTTTGTAGAAAGGTCTTGACTCAATATATTCATGTATTGATGAGTAATTCAGTGTAATCCACTATTGTTCATGTACACAAGTTTTTAACCCCGACAAGATTATCACATTTTATTTAACAAAAACATGTGACATGCCTAAATATGGTCATGATGACATCACATCATGACCATATAGACACATCATGACTATATGAGCATAAAACAGTTTTTTTGTCAGATAAAATTTAATAGTCTGGACATATCTTTAGATTCTTAAACCAATTTTTGGTCGGATATAGAAATACTTCAGTATGGACTGATCCGTTACAGTAAGTGTCCACCCCTTTGATACAGTATTGTTGCTAAAGTCTCATATAACACATTAACGTATACATACTGTAAACATGCGTGTTTCGGACAACACATGTGTGCAAAGGCATAATATTATAACCCTGGATTACAATGCTGTATAACAATAACCTTTTGACATTCAATCATGATGTAGCAGCATTATTTAAAATACAGTCAGTAGGCCTAGCCATCAAATAGGTCTGCCAAGGCCAATACTATTAACTACATACTTCATAATCATAATAATTGTGAAGGTCTTTCAAAGCCACCAATTGATTGGTGTGCTATTCAATGCTTGTCCACTATTTGATCTCTGCCATTCACTCTTGTCAAAACTGTTTATTTTTCACAGCCTACAGCTTTCATCATAATACCTCTGGGTAGAGTAAGTAGGAGGAAGGCAAACACTGAAACCAGCAACACAAATACACCACCTGGAATATTGATCTGTGTAGGTAATCAGGGAATAAAGGAACAGAAATAGAAAATCTGTTCTGTTGGATTCACGTGAGAATTGTAGGCCCGTAGACGCAGAGAGCTTTTCAAGATGCAGAAGGAGCTTGATGTTGATGGAATTATTAAGAAACTGCTAGTAGTAAGGGACACGCCAAAACAGGTAAGTTTTACCTTTGGTTTTTAAGGTATAAGCTTTACAGTAGCTCTGTTTGTTTATTAAAGTCTAGAACTGACAAGATGAGTGACATTCTGAGATTGAGGATAAAGAGAAGGAATGTTGTAATAGTCATTTTGTCTACAAAAACGTACATGCTTTGACTAATCAATCTGCACTTCTTTTCAATCAATACAAAGTAATAGAAATCACAGACTGTAATTTAGAAAACACTGTTGGGCTTTAGTGCAAAGGCCTACTCTGTAGGAATCAGTCGACATATTTTGAAAATAAAAGGCTGACTAAATTTTCTCAATATTTTTACTTTGAATAGTGTCTTATTATTTTGCTACATTTATGAGTGAAAATAGTGACTACTTTCCAGGCTAATATTGTACCTGATTCACAAAAATAATGTAATGAAATGTAGCAGATGGTTACAGCGATATCTCCCAAGACCAAATTAAATGCTTGCCTTTGATTTTGCTCATTACAATTAAAAATACTGTACATCTTGTTTAATGTTTAACGGTCCTTTTGTTAGAGCTCTGCTGTGTCGTTTAATAATAAAAAAATCAAACTTAATTAACACTGAATCAATGCCCATTCAATCAAAAGCCTGTTTATTAAATTTGCACTGTGGGCCATGAACAACACCCGTAATCATGAAATATTGATTGTTAAAAATCAGGACAAAATACTGTTAATATAAAGCCATGTTTAGGCTATCAAATAGTATTCGAAAGAAACATGTGACATGCTTATATATGGTCATGATGACATCAAATCATGACCATATATAGGCACATCATGACTATATGGGCATACAACAGTTTTTAACTATTATCCCATTTTTATTCTTATTTTATTTATTGTTGCATTATTTATTTATGATTCCAAACTTTGCCACTGCTTCTTTTGATTTGTTTACTTGTTCTATGCTTGGGTTAGGCAATGATCACGGCTGCTTGTGGGTTGTGAGGTGCCTAAATATGTGGGGTGCAGCACTTAATACAAATGTTCTGATTAATAATAATAATAATAATAATAATAATAATAATAATAATTATGTTGTATTTATATACTGTAGCGCATATTGCACATTGCCCCTATGCGCTTTACAAAGAAATATTATAGGCCAACTGAGAAAATGCAAATAACAATAAAATAAAATAAAAATAATAATCATACTGTAATAACAATAATAACAATGAGACTAAACTACTGTACTGCTATTCCTTAAACTAATTAATGGTTGGCCGTTGACTCAGAGGAGCTCATCCGCCCTTTGTTCAGCTATTGGTTTTTCTTGCTGCTGGCTGACCATAAACACCCTCCCCTCAGCAGCCACTATTAAGACATATCTGCGAGGGTTGTCAGTTTAGTCGCCGACGCTTCGACCGGATGGAGTTTAATGTCATACCCAAGCCGTAAATTGGATTGGATTTTTTGTCAAAGAAAATTTGATTGTCTGGACAGCAATAATTAATCCTTTGCTGGACAGTACATCAAAATTGATGCTTGATTGTCTGGCTAATAATAGGCCTACAGTACAATACACATCATAGGAAATCATTGCTTCTATCCCCACCTACTCAATCCAATAGAGGTTTCGCAGGCAGAAAAACCTGACAATTCAATGCTACTGTATCTGTACATACCGTAGTGATCGGGCGTTCTTTGTTTTAGCATGCACAAAGTTCTACTCATTACTAATTGTGAAATTTTGACATGCAGACGTGCTGTAGTTTATGTGTGTATAATACTCTACGCATTCTCCAAAGGTTTACATTGATAATTATTCGGATTTAGTTTGGCTTTGGTGTGTAGTCCCATCATAAATTATTAACTCATAAAACATTTGTTTTTTGTTTTTTTTTTAGTATAGAGTATGTTGTACAGAATCATAGTATTGTGCCTTAAGTGTATGTACAGTATAACACATCAATCATGTTCAGTACTACTGTACTAGCCTTGATAACGTGAGCGATTGTACTTTTGCATCTCCGCACTCATAATCCACTCGAGAGATGCAAAGGGTAGCACATATAGGGATTAAAGATTACCCCTACAGAGTAAACAAACACATCAACCTGCATTTACTGTACATTACATACTATTTACTGTTGCTGCGATTTCTGTTGAGTTTATGTTTGCATTGCTTTGTGAAAACAGAACATGTTGACTTCATTTTACCAGCAGTGATGTACGTAATGGGAATTGAGGGTGCACGCTCCCCAGAAATAAATGTGTGGACAGCCATCTTTACCAGTACAAAAATAACAATTTAATGTTACAAAAACTGTTTCCTTTGTAGTTTATAAACTTTAGTGTAGTATTCACTGCCTGCCAGTTAAATTTAAGTAAGACTGACATTTGAAAATGTGATTTACATTTTAATTTTCTTTTCTCTTTTTTTTTTTTTATTTTCTTTTTCTTTCTTATTTTACTGTGCTTTTTTCTTTTTGTTTTTATGAGCTACAGTCAATTATTTTTCAAAAAGGCAAGAAACAAACATTTAATTGTCATCATATATTTAAAAAATCATATTTTTAATGTCAATTCCAGGCATCATTACCAGACACACAAATTCGACAACTATGTCAGCTATCGCGAGAGATTTTCCTGAAGCAGTCGATGGTAGTAGAACTGGCGGCACCAGTCAGAATTGTCGGCGATATACACGGACAGTTCGATGACCTATTGAGGCATTTCGACAAGCTAGGATACCCACCCGAGGCCAACTTCATTTTTCTTGGTGACTACGTAGACAGGTACAGTAATATTCATGACCTATTCTATAGACATTATCTACTTTATAATAATAATTATAATAAAATAATAACAAATGTTAGACTTCTCATGCGAAAAATGCTGGAGATTCGATGCTCTTTCAAAAAAGCAAGTCGAATGGAATAGCGGTTAAGGTGGGGGGGGGCACCGCAACATACAGCCATACTGTAATACCAGCGCTGGTTCAAACGGCACGTTCGCCTGTGGTTCTGGTGGTGGTACAAGTCGTCTTGAATAAGGACTATAAAACCGTAGGCCCAGTGTACACAATTGGCTCATGTGCACTTTAAAGAATTCGAGACGAGTAGGGGTTACCCCGGTGTACTGGTCCATACAACCCCTTTTTAACCTGCGCTTACGGACCATTAGGTTCTTTGTAGGATGTGTAGTAATTAAACCTAAGCCATGCACAGCAAGTGGTTTTCTGTACAACACAAACATTTTTTATCGCAGTCCATGCTGTTTAACAAAAAACAATGTATGTTTGTGCTTTTCATACATCTTTATTGCACATAATCATTATTTCAATATTGATTCCAATTCTAAATGTACATGTAGTCAAACTCATAATAACCTTATTGTTCCACAATGATCTTCCACAAGCAACAACTAAAATTTCATAGACATGACTATTTTATCTCTTAAAAACTCTACTAAATTTTTAATTATTTGTACTGTATATTTTGGAATGTTTATGTTACTTGCATTGCTTTCAATATTTGTTTAATATGCAACTTTAGAAAAACACTACACAAGTACTGAAAGTGCATGCAGTAAAAAGACATAATAAATAAATAAATTAATAAATAAATATGTGTAAAATATTCTGTATGAACATATTATGATTGGGGTTGATGTCTTCCATTTTGATCATTGCCAAAGTTCATTACTCTCATAGTTTATATTTATTTGTTTAATATAAACGTATTCAATTAAATTCAATATAAATTTATTTGCGGAACATATACTGTAAGTAAGTTTTGAAATGTACGATTCAATAATAATGCATTTATAATGCGCCATCTATCTAGGTAAACCTATTCCGAGGCACACACAAACATACTAAACATGGAATATATAAAAAAAAACAAAAAAAACAACATTATAAAATGAGAAGACACATACAAAACGACAATATTAAAAACAGTAAAGCCATAAAAAGGGACATTCTCTCAAAGAAAACAAACACATATGGTGAATCTCACAAAAAATAATTAAAGCTATTAGGTCTCCCTCCAATTAAAGACCACTATAGGGGCCAAGGTTTCTCTTAGTTATTAGCAGCTTTGATCTCTAATTTTAATAGAGATTAAAAGACATTTGTTTTAATATTTGGAACCACAGAATAATGGTCTTTAATTGGAGGTGGTCTTTCATTGGAGGGAGACCTGTATTATTATTATTATTATTATTATTATTATCATTACTATAATTTTTATTTAATGTTATTGCAATTATTAATATCATTCACAAAACCATTACAAATATTCATTAAAAAGTTCAAGTACTGTGACAAATATGATAAAAATGTGTGTTAAAATGCTAGCGTATTTCACTTTCACGTTAAAAGGCTAGTGTATTTCACTTGCACGTTATTAGAATTATGATGTGATAAAATATGCTTTATTTTCCCTTTCTACAATGTGTTCAAATGCCATAAAGCGCATAGTAAAAGCAAACACAGACATCATATTGATTGCATGCAGACTCTTTATTCGAAGGGCGCTTAAGAAAAGGTTAATGCGCCATTACTTAATATGAACGATTATATTTAATTTTCACCAAGCAGCCATTAGATGCAATGCCATAACATTTCACATAGTAATAAACTGGAAATTACAAGTGCCTGCACTTTAATAGCTTGGTTTCCACAAAATTGCTACACGTTATCACCGAAAGCTTTCGGTGATGCTGAATGGTTGGTCGTATTGGGCAGTCTTCCCGTTTGCATCGGTGACTGCTACGCTAGTGCAACAATTGCAGTTAACAAACTGTAGCAAAATTGTAGGGATTTTAAAGAAACCGGGCTCTATACAGACTTAAAGTATAAACGCAGTACAGTATTTTATTTATTTAATCTTCTTTTAAACTGTAGGCGCTTTTTCAGTACTATAGTAAGTACTGATTTTCAAAGTGGTACAGTGACAGGAAACATTGTTATCATTTTTTGTTCTAATTCATTCGTCTACTTCGTGAATACTTACCTGGATAAACCGACTAATTGTCTATTCTTCCTCCCACGAGAAACACCCCCCAAAAATAATAGAACAGTCTACTCCTGGCACCAAGCACAAGCGGCCAAGCAACCAGATGCAACTTCCTCATTCTTTTTCGATCGTTCGAAAGTTTCACCGTTGATTACTGAGTTCTCTATAGTTGTCTTGGATTATATTATTCATTCATTCATTTATTTAATTGATTAATTAATTCATTAATTCATTCATTCATCATTTATATATTAATGTACCGGTCTCTGTAATTAAAGACCCCCTCCAATTAAGGACCACTTTTCTGTGGTTCCTATTTTTTTATTATTCTAATTAGAGACCAAAGCTGACCATGGAAACCCTGATCCAGAAGTGGTCCTTAATTGGAGGGTGACCAGTATTTGATCCATTTATTCAGTCTTTAATAACCATTTGTTCGTTCATTTGTTCCTTCGTTTGTTCAATTTTGCATTCGTTTATTCATTTCAACAGTGTAATGTTGTTGCTGTTTTATTATAATACTGTCTATAACAGTATGTGGTATTAATGATTATAAATGGGATGCTGATGATAACATCCATTAATTTATTCTCAATTATGTTTGTGGAGGAAGATAATAAATAGGGAAGCCAACATGTAGATTGCATTGGATAAAGTTAAATTTGCATATAAGATACTTCTGTAATTATTCCTAAATGTGGGTGATGATGATTTACCACCGCATGTAAAGTAGCTCAGACATTAGATACTGGATTGATTGGAGAAAACTCAATGTTAGATGGAATGAACAGTTAACTCTTTTGACTTTTAAATGTTTAAAAGGGCATGCCCCTCCATACCTAACATCCAAATTTAATTTTAATCATGATATACATTCAAAATGCACATGTAGCCAAACGCATAATGATTTAATTGTACCACCTTGGAATATCTGCCAAGGTAAGAGGACTTTCTTATATCATACCTCAAAAAGTTGGAATGAACTTCCAAACGACACAAAAACTAACTTTAAAGAAATTACCCTAGTTTCATTCCAACATTCTATTAATTTTTAAGTTTTACATTGAATCTTCTTTTGACTTTATTTTGTATTATCTTCCTTCTATTTCACGGTTTGTTTGTAACTGTACCACTTTGAAAATCAGTACTCAAGTACTGAAAGTGTATGCAGTCTAAAGAAAGAATAAATAAATAAATAGTGTTGTGAAACATTTCCATTCTCTTTAAATTATGAATTGCTGTTCTGAATTATAATTTACTATTTATTATTAAATCATGTAATACTGTTTAATATGAACAAATAATAGAATAAAATGGACAAAATTTAATGTGAATTCTGCAAAGTCGTACAACAATAATTTTTGGAGTGACATTCATATTATTTGTACCTAACCTTTGTAGTTGATTGTTAATACTTCACCTACGGAATATAATTTTTAAGTGGACATAGCCAGCTACCTGTAGGCTCAGATGCAGGTATAACAAATGTTCAGTCAAGGATATGGAAATCGGTTTTCCTCCAATTCAATGAATAACTAAAGAGAAAAATGAATAAAATGTGAGGTGAGTTGAGCTGAATTTCAGATGTTGTTTTAGAACATGAATATTTGTGCAAAAAAAAAACCCAATTGATTATAGTAGCATACCAGACTGGAACTCTGCCTTAAGTTACAGATACGAACCCTGGGTAGTTCTAATTTAAACCATGAATTAGTTACTTTAAATATTTAAGTACAATAATTTAGTACAATATTTTCTTTGAATTCTATTTTTATTTGTTATTACTTGTTGCCAATTCTATTTTAAGTTTTACCTGATAGTTTGGTGTAATATGTATTCCTGAAAGTACAGTTCTCTTTTTGTATAATATAGAAAAAGTGTTTTAGTAGGCAAAAATTAACAAAATTATTAAATGTTTGATGCATAATATATGGGAAGTTTAATTATCCTACACTTGATAATTTTATTATAAAATCAATATCAATTTAGATGAAACAAATTACTGTGTTGAAATTTGAAAAACCTCAAAATTTCAATTAATTTAAAATTCTATTGCTGATTTGGAAAGATCAAATTATCAACGTCCATTGAGACAGGTTAAAAAACACTGGCGATTTACAGATAGACGAAATTGATTAATAGTGCCAAGCCAATTATGAAGGAGTGTGAGTTGTATAGCTAAGTGGCAGGTGCTAGCCTTCTAATCCCAGGGTCCTGGGTTCAATTCCTGTGACAGACTTTTTCTCACGACTAAAAACAACTCCACTACCAAACCTCATAGAGAGACTTTGCTAATAAATGCATCACATTAATCCATTTATTTAAAGAGGACCCCTGAATATCAGTCGACCTTCTAGGATATGCTGGAAGGGTCACCCTCTATAAATATGGTAAAAATATACTGAATATCTTTAAAGTAAGCAATTACAAACAATATTTTGTTTAATAATACAGAAGATTTTTTTATCTCAACACAAATACTAAAATAAGAATCTTTAAAACCTGAATATAAGGTCTACTCCAATTAAAGACCCCTCGAATTAGGGACTTTCCCAATAATGACCCCTCCAATTAAGACTGCTCCAATTAAAGACCACATATTTTTACTTTTTGTCATTTTGTGGTCCTGTATTAAGAAATGTGTAGTATCTTTATTATTCTAATTAGAGACCAAACTAATTGGATGGAGACCTGTATTTATACTTTAAAAGAGGTACTGTAGTGTAAGAACCAATGGCGTTTTAAATGAAGAATATTAAATTATTTAAAAAAAA